ATACACTAGAATCAGAATCCGAAAATGGATTCTTTGATTGAGAAGATTTAATAGAATCAGTTGTAACACCTTTAGGTTCATCATCACTACTATCATCAAATGGATTGGTTTCTGTGTGTGGAGTAGACATAGCACTTGACATATTTTTTGTAGGACGTTTTGAAAAACTAACTTTTGGAGTACTTTGAGCACTAACACTTGGTTTAGGTAAACCTTTTTGATGTGGTTGAGGAGGTGTTTTCTTTGGAACAAGTTTTAAAGAAGAATTACTAGTAGAAGCCTTTGAAAGTTCTATTGGTGGTTTGATTGGTCTTTGATATTCTTTATGATACAACCGTTTATATAGTTGTTGTTCAAAAATAATTGTTATGTGTAATGCTTTTACTATACGAGTTGTAAAAGTTGTTTCATCTATTCCATTTTGAGAATGAACATCATCTATAAGTTTATCTAATAACATAGAGAAAGCAACTTTAGTTGATGAAACAAATTCCAAAACTAAAGCCTCACCAACTTTCCAACGGGAAGGAAAAATAGTACTATACATACCTTCATAACTTAAATACTTTTTATTAAACCAAATATATCTTTTATCAATATTATCTAAACCAGACATTTCTCCAGTTAATGGAAATTCATTAGAATAACCAACTAATAAATGGTTATACATCCATGTAACAAATTCATCAATATGTTTTTGACTTAAACTATCAACAATAGTAATAAATTGTTTTAAATCATCTTTTGATAAAGTTTTCTTTTCGAATTGATCAATAACTTTTTTAGCCTCATCAAGAACACGTTCAGAAAATACATCATATCTTTGTAAAGCAGTAGAAATTGTTGGTTCACTTGAACTAAATTTTTCAAATAAATTTAATAATAAATGAGTTGTTTGTAGAATTTTAATAATATCATCGTACTTTTTTTTATCTAACAAATGATCTAATTTGTCTAGGCAATTAAATAATTGATCCAAATGAGTAATTATTTGAATAATGGCTTCTAAGTTACCTTTGGCATATCCCATTCTTCTCATACCATCACATACTTTTAATACCTCTTGTTCACTCATAACTGAACGATTTGTTGTTTCATGTGTTTGAAGTAATAAAACTTTTAATTGTTCTGCTGACTCTGCAATTGTATCATTTACTGAAACTGACTTTTCAAAAAATTAAAGACTTGTTGAGATAATTCTTTTTCTGTAGCTTC